ACACACACCACAGGCATACACACATCATGGACCACACGCGCACGCGCGCCGTCGATGACACACCATCGGAGTCACGTCGCGGGGTATCGTTTTGGGCGGTCGCAGTCAGCATCCACGTACAAGAGGAGGATGGAAAAGTGGGCAATGACGTGTGGGGGGATTTTTTGTTTGTCTTCCTCAGCGTGGGGAGCGCGCGCGCGCGCCATCAGACGCGCGCATGCGAGCGTGTGGCACACAGGCACACACATGCATACACGCCTCCCCATTGCACACACTCCCCCGCCCCCTTCCCCCCACAAGCGAGGGGGGTGCGCGCGCGCGCGCGCGCACGTGCATGCGCGCGGGATTCCGCACGCACACACATACACACACACACACACACACACACCCAACACACGCCCGGAGGAAAGAGAGAGGAGCGCGCGCACAGGCGGCAGCACACAACATACACACATGGGAGGGAGCCAGACGCGCGCGCGCGCGCGCGCGGGCAATGTGTGGGGGGGGGGGCTGAAAACTATCCCAAGTTTACGCGAAATACAGAATCTTCAATTTTTGAAAGAGCTCGAGAGACCGCACGAGCGTGCGATAACGCGCGCTGCTTTCCGAAGGAGCGGAGGGGGGGGAGAGGGAGGCACATCCGGCGGGGGGGTCCCCCCGGGGCGGGTGCCTCCGAGCCGCGTACGGGCTCATTCGCTCCCCCCCCCCCCCCCCCCCCCCGGCATCTCTCTCTCTCTCGCTCTCTCTCACTCTCGGGCCCTTCTCTCTCTCCCTGGTGGTCTTCCCCCAGCCGGCGAGCCGGCGAGGGGGGAGCCTACCCCCTTTCCTGGGGGGCGCGCGAATGGCGACACGCACGCGCCGGCCTCCAATCCTGCCGCCCCCCCCGGGGGACCTGGGGGGCTTGTGCGAGGTCCCGCTCACCTTCTCCCCGCAAGGAGGGGAAGGTAGGCGGCACCGCACACCAGCCGCCGCGGGGGCGCGCTCCACCGCACACATGGAGTTGCACCATTCCCTCGCGCGCCGTCCCCCGTCGGGGTCGGACCTCGGCCCGGCCAGCGGCGGTGCCCTGGGAAACCACCCGTCTGCGCGTCTCGGTCCGTGTGAACGGCGGAGAGGCGAGCGGGGGCCGGGCAGCGCGCGCGCGCGCGGCGGAGAGGCGACTCGAGGAGAGGGGCGCGAGGTGGTGCTGTGGCGGGAGAGACCACCCCCCGGCGGCCGGTGTGCGACCCACACCCCCCACCGCAGAGGGGGGGGGGGAGGTGTCTCGCACGCCAGGAGCGCAGGGGCAGCAAAGCAAGGAGGGGAGGAGGCGCGCACACCATGCGCACCCTCCCGAGAGAGGGTGGGAGAGAGGATGGGGAGGGCATGCTCGCGAAGAGCCGCGACACGAGGGGGAAAGAGAGAGAGAGAGAGAGAGGGAGGGAGGGGGGGGGGATTCGAAGAGCCGCGCATTGCAGCGGCCGCCCCGGGGGGGGTCAGTACTGCACGCACTGGTCCCTCCCGGTGCTGCCTGTCTCTCCCTGCTCCTCCGGAGAGGGGAAAGGGGAGGAGGAGAGGAGGGGGGCGGGGGCTCCCGGCTGAGGTGTCAGCGCTAGGGACGTACCTGGTTGTTGAACTGGAAGTCTGGATGCTTTCCCCCTTTGGAGAGGCGAAAATACCGCCCCTTTATATACCCCCCCCCCCCCCCCTGTCCTGCCGCTTGGACCCCCCCCCCCCGCAGCCCATCTCACCTGTCCTTCCGCATGTCGCTCTCTGGGGTCTTGCCAAAGCCGTTCTCATCGTGCTCGATCGTCTGTGTGACCTGTCCACGCCCATGCGTTACTCCTGGACGTACCAGGTGATGCTACACGACATCCTCAACATGAAGCTCAACAAAGTGACTCTCACGGTGCGCTGTTGCCCCCTCGAATTCCACTCCGGTCCCCGCCTTTCCCGGTGCTCCTAATCCGGAGGCCTTGGTTATTCTTCTCCCCTTACGCCGACCCAACCAATTGCTCATTCTCCCCCTCCCCTTCTCTCTCTCTCTCCCTCTCTTTCTCCCTTGCTTCCTCTCTCGCTCCCTATCCTGCTTCTCATGTGGACCCCCCTCTTTCCCCGCCACGCTCCCGTTCAACCACCTCACGTCCGCCTTAGAATGCCAACTCCGAGCGTAAGGCCTATTTCATCGACCCGTCGGCCGGGTTCTTCCGAGACAACGCACGCCTGGACTTTTCGGATGTCGCTCGCAATGTGGATGCCGCTCTGACGGATTACCGCGTGCGCTATGAGCAGATCACCCAGATTGGCTCAGCCGCGTCGGCTCAGGCCGGTGCCATCCAGTTCGAGCAGATGTACGTCCCCCGCCCGGCGGTCAGCAGCGCCCCCCCCCCCCCCCCCCCCCCCCCCCCCCCCCCCCCCCCCCCCCCCCCCCCCCCCCCCCCGAATCCCAGCCTGCGCTAACTTGTCCCAATGGCCCCTCCCATCCCCACTTCGTCCCTTCGTCGCTCAAGCCCCACGCACAAGGAGAGCGCCGATCGCCTGCTGTCGGCCATGAGCGAATTGCCGGAGCTCACGCGCAAGAAGGAAACCATCGACGCGCACATGACCCTGGGAACCGAGCTGCTTGGGCACATCAAGGCTCGGTCCTTGGATGCCTTCGTGAAGGCCGACCCGGCGAGCCTGAATGTCGGCAGCCTGTTGGCCATCATCCGCGACATCAGCAAGGGCACGCCGGCCGACAAAACCCGCCTGGCCTTCCTCTTCCTGGACGCCATGCTGATGGAGGAAATTCGGGCGTCGGCCAGCGCCGGTGGTGGCGGCGGCGGCGGTGTCGGGGTCGGTGGCGGTGGCGGGGCCGGGACGGGCCCCGGGGCGGCCGGCCCCGGGTCCCAGCCCTTTAGCCAGCATCTGCCCGAGGTGCTGGAAGCCCTGCGCCAGGGCGGCTGTGACACGGCGCCGGTGGAGTACCTTCAGCTGTCGCGCTCGCTGCATCTTATGTCTCGCTTGCCGGGGGCCGGGATGGCCGGTAGCGGTGGCGGGGCCGGCGGTGGCGGCGGGCCCGGTGGGCGGATTTTCCCCAGTCAGTTGGTGGACTCCCTGTCGGCCAACTGGTCACAGCTGGCCGGCGACACGGCCGTCGGGTCGATGCTTCGCCAAGGGGCCAAGTCCCTGCTGTCCATCCTCCCCGGGCAGCAGGCCACGCCTCTGGTGACGCGCGTGGTGGAGGAGGTCCTTAACGGGGCCCCGAGCACCTCGGTTGGCAACCTCCTGTGGCTAGACCCGCGGTCGCGACGCCGGGAGGCCCAAGCTCCGGTCGGGCGTGAGGCCGCCTTCGACGAGGCCATCGTCTGTGTGATTGGCGGTGGATCA